CAGTTGTAGCTTGTTTTGCGGCTCTGGACACATTTTATTGGTGAGTCGAGGAGCAGAAATGGCTCTTTGCAGACCCGTGCACTAAACCAATATATACAGTATATTGCATTATAATATACCACTAAACCACTACTAGGATTAGTGGAACCAGTTGACTTGACTTGATTGAGTAAATTCAACATTTCATTTTTTTAGAGTGCATAAACCAGTTCTTTCCTCGTGAGTTCAGACAGAGTTAATTTTGTAATGAGTAACTAGGTGTTACATTTTAAGGTAAAGAAGTTAAAGTATCATTTTTAGGTTTGAAATGTAACAAAACAAACGTAAAAGTAACAATTTTTAGATCATACTTGTTAAAATTACAAATCATCAAAATAATTATGTTAGTACTGTAATGAGGTAAATGTACTTATTACTACAAACCTCTGATAGTCATATTATATAAACTCAGAGTTTTAATCTACTTTGGTTTTTGTGAGGTTAACAAATCACTCTGGTGATTATCTGTTTATTTTATGTCCAGAAAGCAGCAGCACAGTGTCGGCCTTCAGCAGTCAAACAGAGGTCATCAGCAGGCTGACTCTCATCCAGCAGGCACACCGGCAGGGACTGTAGAAAAGAAAAGAAAAGAAAAGAAAAGAAAAGGAAAGAAAACACTATTTTTCTCGTGATTTCCTTCTCACCTCCTGCTGAAACATAATAAAACACTCACAGCTGAAATCCATCAAGCCCCGGCTCTCAGCAGGTTGCATTCTGGGCTTTGTAGGAAATTGAATATGGATTGAAAAATAGGCTGACTTTAAGCAAGAGAAAAGTAAATCAGAGGGCAGCCTCAAAGTCACCCGGATTCCAGDGGATTTCAAAACAAAATTTATGGAGTTTTTCCCCTCGAGCGACGCTTTAAAAGACCAGCTGCTGGAAACAGAAGGCTGCAGGGCTGCTGGGGGCTTTGAAAGGTGGTGCAACCATTACCAGAGTTTAAGAACTCTAAAAAAAAACTGTTTTTTCAACATATTTTCATTGTTGATTCTAATTTACAGGTTTTACTTTTTTTAATCAAAAGAGAAAATGAAGCATTCAAAGCTGGTCCCACACAGTTCAACCAAACCACGAATATTCTCTAACAAAGACGACTATCTGCAGTAATGTCAGATTAAACAACAATTCTTTTATATTCCAGCGTGCAACCATGCTAAACAACAAAGAGCCTATTTTCAGCACGAAATGTGCACGAACACTTCTGCACCCTCAGAACACTGACAACATCCAGGAACTTCACATCCGTGGTGTCACGGGTCACATATTTCACTTGGTGAGAAATCTGTCACGTGTGCATTTGTGTTTTTTTTTTTTTTGAATAAAAGTCTTGAGTAAAGAGAGCAACTTCTCTGTTTTCTGCACCAGTTTTATCCTCCAGTTCAGAAGCTCAACATGCAGCATCCACCTAAAAGGATGTAAAATTGAGCCGCAGGTGCCGTAATTACAGAAGATAAAAGTGTGCATTTAAAAGAAACACAGAAAAAGTCGTTAAAATATACAAGAATGATTTGTTTATGGCTAGATTTTCCACAAAAACTGTTAAAATGATGATGATTTTTGCATTCCCCGTTTGTGGAATTTTCTCCCACTGAAAATTAAAGTTTTTTTTTTAAATCATTACTTAAAACNTTTTTAATGTAACGTACCTGTTTAAAAAGGTGCTCTGCAAATAAAGTTGATGGTTGTGTGCTTTATGCACTAAAAGGGTTTGTTTAAAAAAACACTTTTTGTGATGCAGCCACATGTTCAGAATCAATGTCGATATTTGTTTTTTTTAAAGCTTTAGTGCTGAAATATTTGTTTCTGCATGGAACCAGGACGGTGTGAACTTACAGGTGGTCTGACTGCCTGCAGCTCCTGATTGGCTGAGAAATCTCAGTCGATCAAAACTGAACGTGTAGATCACACAAACACAACACCAGATACACACTAAGGAGATTTGACCCAGTGTGTGTGTGTGTGTGTG